CATGTTTGACCACACGGTCCACAATTTAACACTATTTCCTGTGACAAAAAAACAACAACTCATGCATTTATGTGCACACAAACACAAATAAAGAGGATTTTAAGTCCCTTTCAATGCCACATTTTCACCCTTTCCTTTAAAAATACTTGATATTTCACTTTTATTTGCAGTTCAACTCTTTCAGTTCCTCTCTCAGTTCTTCAACTGTCCAAACAAAATAAACTATTCACCATCTACCCGGTAACAGCGGTGTAATCTTATCTGACTGGCTGCTGAAAATCCACACCTATGTTTGGAGGTGATGCTTGACGCCAAACCGGTAGTCTGTGATTAGAAATGGTTCCGTCTGTGATTTTACTGCTTCTAGCCGCTGGAGCTGGATCTGCAACAAGTAAGACGTTATCTGCAACTTTAATCAGAGTTCACTTGCTGTGTTGTGAGCAACTTGGCAGCTGTTTGTGGGAAGTTAAAGTAAAAATGAAAGATACCACAGGCAGTCCAGGTGGGACGACAGAAGAGGAGGATACAAAAACTTAACCTCTGGTGTGTGCTTTGTGCTGAAAGCTGGCAGCCAAACAGCAGAGTGTTAAGGGGAGCTGTGTAGTTTTACTTTGTGCTGAGGTGAAGCTACTCTGAATTCAGCCTCATTGCAACTGATAAAAAAAAAAAAATGTTAAAGCTATTTTCAGTTGTGAATGACACTGAAAAAATCACTTACAATATTTATGTCTTGGGACTGACAAACTAAAAGTAAACTCAGTTGAAACAAGTCATTCATTTACAGCCCCGTTATGGTTGTGTTACTCAGCCTGTCCAGGTCACGATGCAAACATGGAAAGCAGATACAAAGCATAGAAAGCAAAACAAAGGTCCCACCATATTGTGCTCCTTTTCAGCAAAGTAATGAAAGTCTCACCTCCTCCTGAAGGGTCTTTTCATTTCCAAGCTTAAAACACTGCAGAGTTCATTTCACCATGACTGCATGACTTCTGTTTTTTGTGGAAACTATGTTGTTGTTGTTTAAGCACGAACAAATTAATTCATGTATACATATGGGGGTATTATTGTAGCAAAACTATTTGTAAATGTGTGTGTGGAGAGTTGTGTGTCTGTGGTGAGATTTGTTGTCTGTCTTTTTACACATGACTTTTGCTGCACTTCTGCCTGTGAGATTCGTATCTGTAACATCAGGGTTTCTTTGCCCTGAGCTCAGGCTCACAGGCTCCTTCATTCTGGCTGCCACTCTGCTGCTCTTTACCTCAGTAGTTATGCTGCCTGCAAGCCATCAGGCGGCGCTATCCCTTAGAGTCTTTGAGGGCACACAACATTGTCTGGTATGTGAACAAGTCGCCGAGCAAAAACTTTCATGATGACAGACAAACCTCTGGAAACACAAACCTCAGCCAAACAGACACCAATATGACGAGGCAGACAGGAGACTGTCAAACAAATGCACCTTAATCATGATGTGGAAATGAATGAATAAAGCCTTTAAAACAGCCAGCAACCTTTAAACCATCCTGACTGCATCACCTACCTCAGAGTCACAGAGGAGCCCATGTGGCAACCAGGAAGAAGAGACCAAAGGCAGCCATGATGCCACAGGTGCTCTAAGCACCCTCAGTCAGGGGCAGGGCCATGGAAGGAGTCATCCAGTTCTATGGTGGTGTGTTTAAGGGTGGTCAGGAAATACGGCATTCACCTGAGCACAAATGTTACCACTGCCATGAGCAAGAAATCTGAATTACATTTTGAGAATTATTTACTGTGTAACGTTGTTGCTGTCTGAACCATAAACTGCAAAATGAAACTCCCGTACAGGCTGTTGTTTATAGTTCATATCAGGACAGTATTAACATCTGTGTCTTTGAACTACTTTACAGCATCATCCCATCAGTTGCGCTACATGTATGGATGCTATGAATCCGACGACGTGCGAGTGGATGCTGTCCTTGACGAGGATGTAATCGGATATGCTGATTTTAACAAGGAAGAGATGGTGATAGCATTACCTGACCCTCCACAGTCTGTAGAAGACTTCAAGAAACGGGCTATCGAATTTGCTAATGCTGACAGGACACACTGCCACAATTCTTTGGGTCGCGCAAAAGCAGCTGATCCCGGTTCTCCCATGCAGCAAGGTACAGACTTGGTACAGTTATTGTGAACTGACTTTCATTCTGCAAACCTTCATCTTTAGGAGAGGACAAAAAGAAAATAAAGAGGCTCAGAGGTTACACCTTCCAACAGCTGTAGGCTTTTTCTGTTCTGAGAAAGTCCAGTTGCTTTTCACTGAAGATCTTAGGATGTGTAGATGTTGTTAAAGTAGATTTACTGTCTACACCTGGTTTAACTACCCAGCTACTGGGTGTACTGCAATTGAACCACAGGTGAAGTTTATACTGCAGGATCTCTGCAGAATTAAACAACACCTGATAGTACAGGTTCCCCTACAAACTGCAGCTAAGATATGACAAGGAAAACCAACCGTTACATCCCCTCTGGCTAATACAAGCACATTTATAGCGATGAGAGTTAATGATAGTCATCCCTGTAAAATGTAAATGTCCAACAAGGCACTTTGTAGTTTGAATTGAATTGATCATTGCCGTTACATTTTAAGTTTCCTGCCAAAAAAGTGCCCTTAGTCACTTCTTTCTGTTCTATTCATTGCTCAGATCCTCCAGACATCTTCATGTATACCCGGTATGAGGGGGAGGAAGATGTCATCAACACTCTCTACTGTTTGGCCAACTACTTCTACCCGCCCACCATCAACTTCACATGGAGCAAAAATGGGATGGAGGTCACAGAGGGGGTAACGAACCTGCGTTACCGCCACAACGACGATGGGACGTTCCACAGAATTTCAACACTGAGTTTTACCCCTCGAGAGGGAGACTTTTACACCTGCAAGGTGGAACATCAGGCCTCACAGCAGCCTCTGACCAGGACCTGGGGTAAGGCAGAGTGGTAGTGTCTGGGTTTTAAGCAGCCATGTTGTTAAACCAACAAATCCACAATGTTTTTTACTGGAATTAGGTTGTAGAAGAACAGGCTGCAGACAGCAGAACTTTTCATACAGCTGTCATCTAATCGCCAATGTTAACTGATATTTTAAGCAGTTGTGCTGACATTGAATATTATTATTATTATCGTTATGCCACTTCCTTTTAAGGAAGAGAGCTTGAAGAACACTATTTCAGTCTTTTACAAGAATCAGAGTTGACAAGCACATACGTCTTTTTACTCATATTCTCAGTCATTTTCTCTTATCTCATGTCCTGCTTGGTGTTTCCTAACCATAAGTACTGTTAAACAGGTGTTCTTAATACGTAAAAACACCATTTATATAGTAAAGAAAGTGATTAGGACTGTGGTAATGGGTAGAAGTTGTAGCCTCTCTTGTAAAAGTCCTGTTGTGTTGACCCATCCATCCACCCCAGCCTCCTCCCTCTGCAGAGCTGGTGACTCTCTAAAAACATCATCGAACTTCTTACTTTACTTGTGAAGAGTCATGATTACCACAGAGGATTTTGGCACTTGAAAGTCAAAAACCTTAAAGATCTTGTGGTTGCTCATCTTGAGCATACATCCAGCATCTACCAATAAACGGACAGTTTTTAACGATATCAAACTCTTGTCCGTACAGACGATAAAATCAGTTTTTCTAAGTAGCATTTGATAAACGCTCATGCCACATTAATGTAATAGAAATCATACCTGCTGCAAGTTTGGCCATTTCATACACTTTTTACGTTGCATTTTAGAGCAGAGAAGCCTTTAAAGCACATACACACAATAAGATTTACTGGTTTCTGTTCAACCCACAGAGCTGAAGAAGAGGAGCAGCGTGAGTCCTGCAGCTGTGTTCTTCTTCGTCAGCCTTGTTTTGTGCCTGATGGGAATCGGAACCGGAGTTTACTTTTTAAACAAGCAGCCAAGTTAATGCACTGAGTTTTGGGATTTTACTGAGAGCAGCTCGGCCAGTACTTAGATATTTTTATAAATGCTTGACCTTGCTTGACCTTTGTTTGAGCTGCATGCTGAGGGTGCTTTTTTATGTACACTGAAGTCGGCAAAACACATAACCAAGATCATAAGAGAAGTTTAATCAAGCACTCTATGTGGACTACTATGTTTACTTGATTGTTATCAGTGAATTGCAGTTTGTTGTGACTTCAGTGAAGATGCACTCTGTCTGAGTTTCCGTTGTTTATTTCATCTGAATTATTTTTAATATCGTTTAATGCTTAATAAAGAAATCATTGTTGGGCGACGTGTTGGAGTTTCAGTCGTGTTTCTGGAAGACGTACAGCTGGACATGGATTTGATCACCTTTCCCTTGAAATCCAGACAATCTTTTTACAAGATAGAGGAAAATTGCAATTGAATTGAATACTGTAAGATAAAGAAAACGTTACACAACAAGTGGTAAAGAATCCATACAAGGGGAAATCAGAGATTGTGGAGGCTGGAGTTTATGCCAAACCTAACTGCAGGTCTGTGATCGGACATAACCGAACTTAGATGTTTAAGATAAGATATAATTCATTGTCTTGAGCAGTGGTGCAAAAAACAAAAACAGCTCAGAAAGCACGGTGATAGAACAAAAAGTACCCAGAAACAGAATAAGCCATGTATATATGCAGTCTAAAAATAAAGTGAGGAGTCCTTCAGAAAGCCTTTTGCATGTCTTACAACAGTTATGAGGGATGAGTGTTCCTTCCATCCTGTCACTTTCACACAAAAAAGAAAAGCTGTTTACTTTAGATTTTAACTGGATGGCCAAAAGTTTCTTATTTAAATTTGAGATTTATTTGCTCAGGAAACAACTTCTTAGAGTGTGCAAGATCAAAGCTACGACCTTCCTCCTTCACAACAAACTCATTGATTTGCAATGACTTGTAAAATTCTGTTCTTTGAGTTGATTCCTCGTCTGCCGCTTTTGTGTCGATGCTGAATAATCTGCATCCTGAAACACATCACCAGATCAGCACAGAGAAGCTGAGACACAGTCATGTCAGTACAAACAGGCTGTGAGTGACACTTTGACATGACGAAGCTGACTTCCCGTCTGATTCCAGAGTGTCGTCGCTCTCAGGAAGAAGCCGTTTCACCTTCAGCACCTTCACCTCCTGCAGCTCTGTGAGATTTGTCAGCGTCAGGCAGCCGACTCCTGGAGGAGGTTTATGTGATAGTGAGGAATCATGCGGCTGGTTTGAGCTACAAAGCAGGATTTTAAAGTTTGGGGGAAAAGATAGAGGGAAAGCTGAATGTGTGAGAGGACGGATGAAGTTAGAACTCAGAGTGGAAGGCAATGAAGAGAGAAAATATCCAACTAAAGTTGCACTGTGTCACGTCATGCGTCAGTCTGTATGTCATTAAAGCATCAGCAGGCATCTTAACCTGCAACGTTTGCCAGTGAACAAGGAGTTATTTCCAGTCATAACTTGACATTAAACTTTAAAGCTCAGGTGCTAAAATTCAACACCAAAACAGGTTTGTTTGGAATTATTAATGTTTATCTAGTGCAACTTTTATTTTATTTTATTTTTTCCAAAATTGTCATCCAGGTAATGTGAGGTTTCAGCAGACTGTTGTAGTTAAGTGGAGCAGATATCTTATTGTTGCTATACCTTGACTGCAATAAACACTAGCCA